TTGAGACAGAGTCTTACTCTGTCACCCTTGATAGAGTCCCGTAGCATCATAGCTCACAGCAACCTCAAACTCTCCGGCTCAAGCAATTCTCTTGCCTCAGCCTCCTGAGTGGCTGGAACTACAGGTGTGCACCACAACATCTGGCTAGTTTTTCCTATTTTTAGTAGAGATGGGGTCTTGCTCTTGCTCAGGCTGGTCTTGAATGAGCTGAAGCAATCTACCTGCCTTGGCCTCCCAGAGTGCTAGGGTTACAGGTGTGAGCCACCATGCCAAAACAGATGTCACATATTCTATGTAAGTAGGGTTCTAGGTGTGATTAACAGAAATGAATATAGATGTGATCCCCCTTGGAAAAGCAAAGACAAAGGTGCAGGTGTCAGACACGGGATGTGACAGGAAGGAAGCTGAGTTCAAAGGAAAGGAGAGGGTGCTAACAGTATCATCTAACGAAGTGAGGAGGTGGGAGACACCTGCTATACCAGCTGGAAAAAGGAGGAAGTGACAAATGTGTAACAATAGAGGAGCAAAACATCGTATCATTTTCATTGCCTTTTGGGAAAGGAAGGTGCTATGGTCTGAATACCTGCACCTCCTCAAAATTCTTACGTGAAAACTTAATCTCCAATATGATGATATGAGGAGGTGACAAGGTCATGAGGGCAGAGTCTTCATAAATGGGATTAGTGCTACTATAAAGAGACCCCAGAGAGTCACCTAGCCTCTCTGTCATGTGAGGAGGCCATGAAATGCTATAACCCAACCTCCAAAACTGGGAGAAATAAATATCTGTTGGTTAAGCCACCTGATCTGTGGCTGTTTTGTTAAAACATAGTGCTTGTTATTTTGTTCAGATGGGAGGTAAGGAGTAGATTAAGTGAGCAAAATCCTCATGTTACTGGAGGCAGTCAAGAGCACATATGAAAATTGGTAAATCAGGCTCATGCCTATAATCCCAGCACTTTTGGAGGATGAAACAGAAGTGACAGTTTGAGGAAAGGAGTTTGAGACAAGTTTAAGCAACAAAGTGGGAGGCCATCAATACAAAAAAAAGAAAACTTTGCCAGGTGTGGTGGCTCAAGCCTATAGTCTCAGCTATTAGGAAGGCTGAGGAATCACTTGACCCCAGGAGTTCAAGGTTGCAATGAGCTATAATCAGGTCATCACACTTCAGCCTGAGTGACAGAGTAAGACCCTGCTCGGAAAATTGAAAAAAAAAAAAAAAAGTTGATTAAATCAATAAATAGTGACACAAGGCACAAGGACATTATCTGGCTCAGAGTTCAGATAAGCAGGAAAAAATAGGTTCTATTGTTAGGATGGGGGGGGTGTTTTTTCTTATCTAATTTCTCTTTTGGGCTCAAGCTGACACTTTGCCCAGCACTGCCTGCAGGGAGCGTATGTTGGAACAGCCTCTGATATGCTCCTTCAGGTCTGTCTTCTGACCACACACAGTAATTACCAGCACCAAAAAAGTGAGGGCTGCCTACAGGGGAAAGGGATGACTAGACAGAAACTACTGGTCTCCACTACATGCCTTCCAGTTCTTTGGCTTTTTTTTTTTTTTTATAAAATGCAATTCAAACACCCCGTGGTATTTAAATTTGTTAAATTCACCATTTTAAAATGTATATTTCAGTAGCTTTAGTGATATATTTCAAGATTGTGCAGCCATCACCAATATCTAATTCCAGAATATCTTCATTGCCCCTTTCCCCTCAAAACCCCATAGCTGTCAGTAATCGCCCCTCATACCTAAGGTGACCAGACATCCCGCCTTTGGCGGGACAGTCCTGATTTTTAACAATTTGTCCCACATCCTGCGGCATTTTTAAAAAGTCCCGAAAGAATGCACAACAAGCTAGGGAACGCAGGAGAACAGGAAGGGAATATACGGTTTTCTGCTGCTATGTGGCTATTTCGCCATGATATGAGGTTTATATTATTTTTGTTAATTTTATAATGTTAAACTTTAATAATAACAAATAATTGTTGAGAACTGATTATCGAGAACTGCTTATCAAAGTTTGCATTGTTGTCAGGCCCCGCCCTCCCAGGCCCCCCCACCCCGTCAATGGTGTCCCGCTCTACCAATGTTAAAATCTGGTCACCTTACTCATACCCCCTCTCCAGCCCCTGCCAACCACTAATGTACTTTCTGTCTTTATGGATTGGCCTATTCTGGATATTTCATATAAATGGAATCACGTAACCTGTGATGTTCTGTGTCTGGCTTCTTTCACTTAGCACAACATTTTTGAGATTCATCTATGTTGGAGCATGAATCAGTATTTCATCTCTTTTTACAGCCAAAAAATATTCCATTAGATACACATACATTTTGCTTATTCATTTATCTGTTGATGGACATTCGGGTTGTGGTTATCATAAATAGTGCTGTGAACATTGATGCACAAGCTTTCGTGTGAACACAGATTTTCAGTTCTCTTGGGTATATCCCTAGAAGGGAAATTGCTGAGTCATATGGTAACTCCATGTTTAATTTTTTGAGGAAATACCAGGCTGTTTTCCTCTGTTGGATTTTTTGACTTGATACCTATATTACTTCAATAACATTTTTGAAATGAAAGTAAATAAAAAACTTTAGCAGGAGGCTCATTTCTGTCTTTGGGGAGAGGCCCTGAGAGAGATGGGATAACCACCCACACCACTCTATAAGGGAAACCACTAGGTGGACTCTGCCCTGTCTTGCCAGCCCCTGCACCTAAGAACAAAGGCCCACCAAACTCACGTGGAAAACCAGCCTGTCGGATCAGCTTCTTTTTGGACAGCACCTTCATTGCCTACAGGAGAAAAGATCCCATATGCCTGGTTAAAGCAGGGAGGAGGAAGAAGGAAGGATGGCAAAGGGTGGGTTCCCTCCACTCCAAGGCCTGCTCAAGCTCCTGGCCCCCTGGCAGCCTTGGGACAATGTAGTGAACCAGTCATTACTAGAGGGCTCAAGCAGCTACTACATCGAGTAGAAGCTGGACTTCCAGAGTCCCTCCAGCTCTGAGGGTGCTTCTGAGGTTCTTGGTCAGCTTTCCCAGCTGGGAAACTACAAGCCTTGAGACTTAAACACAGGCAATCTGGAGTGACGGGTGAAGGAGGGGTATGACTGCCTATTTTATACATGCGGAAAGTGAGGCTCAGCTGTTTTACTCCTGGAGAAATGTCACTTGCCAGGTTCACACAGTTTGCACATGGTAGAGCCAAGATTTGAAACTACATTGGACTGATTCCAAAGCCTCAGCTACAATTTGTCTAGCTGCTGCCTTGTGCTCAGTACAATGGAGAATGCAGAAATGACAGCTTGGAGAAAAGGCATAAGAAACATTTGAATAACTCTCCCTGGGCCAATAACTTCACCTCCCCTCTTCCCTATCTGTAAAATGGGTACACCACATCCTTTGTGATTCCCAAAATGAACATGATCTAAGAAAAAAATGAGAAAAAAGCTATGAAACCTTCCAGAAAACTAAGTGCTGGAAAAGAGACTTTTCTTTAGATAAAGACAGGGGGCAGTGAGGAGAATGTGAATACTCACATAGTAGGTGTTGTCATTTTCATTGTAGGCCAACTTGACCACACCATAAGAGCCCTGAATAAAGGAAGATGCCTATGAAATACTACACATAAATTATGATCTACAAAATGAGGACCCTAATACAGAAGTTGTAAACTGGAAGCCCATTGGTCAAATCTGCCCTGCAACTGTATTTGTTGGACCTGCAGTTTTTACAAAGTTTGGATTAGTTGTCATTAGTTTGGATTAAAAACAAAAAGAGCTGATATAAAAATCCAGATTCTCAAAACTTTTGAAACAATTAAAAGATCTAGCCATATGTAGCTCTCATTTGCACATGTCAACAGTTTGCCACAGATCTCACTACTCTCTACTTAGATCTAGAGCCTACTTCCTCAAGGAGCCCTCATTTCCATAAATTAACAGTTTGCCACAGTCCTCACCATTCCCTACTACCTTACACCTGGCATGGCTCATTCATTTATATCACTCACTTGTTTTCTGTTGGCATTTGTGGTTTTGTAATGATATCACCCATTGGCTAAAATAAAAGCAAAAATAGATGTGAGAGCACCTGAGAGGGAAGAGGACGTGGCGGACTGGGGGGTGGGGGGACTCCACTAATGTAGTGGGGATGTAATTACCACCATGGTAATATGGAATTTCTCTGGAACCTCTGAGAAATACATTTAATTTTAAGAAACAAAAAACAGGCTCAGCGCCTGTGGCTCAAGTGGTTAGGGAGCCAGCCACATACACCTAAGGTGGCGGGCTCGAATCCAGCCCAGGCCCGCCAAACAACAATGACGGCTGCAACCAAAAAATGGCCAGGTGTTGTGGCGGGCGCCTGTGGTCCCAGCTACTTGGGAGGCTGAGGTTGGGCCCAGGAAGTTGGAGGTTGTTGTGAGCTGT